AGGTCCAGTTTGGTTTTTATCAAGGATCTCTAAATATATAGCAGGGGCACCAGACCATATGTGGCAGCAATATTCAATGCATTAACGAATGGTAGACTCGTATATATGTAAGATATTCTAGTGATAAAAATTGTCTAGCATGACACAAGGAACCAAATTTCCTAGTAGCTGACTGATTTGATATAATCTTTTCACTTCATGTCATTGGAAGATGTTAGCCCAAGAAGATGCAACAAGTCCCTCTCCTGAAAGCCAGCACCAGCCATGCTGTTGAAAAGCAGAAAAGCTTCTCTCAGGTGATTAATAGAGAGAATTTTTGTTTTTGGAGTGTTTAATTCCTTCTCCGGCGTAGATGTGTATATACGTTTTTGCCGAAAGTGTCTTTTGCAGACACTGGTGAATAAACACGTCCAAAACAATATTCAAAAACAAGCTACTGACATTTTTATATGTCGATCTTGATCCTTTTGATGCCCTTCTGAGCTGAAAAGGAGTCCAATTGTCAACTCGTACATTTGGTAGAGGTATTAGCCACCGCTCGGATACTTCAAGTCTTCCCAAACCAATAAAAACTTTGTCTGAAAATGAAACGTTTTTTCCCAAAATAATTGGCAGAGAAGAGGTTAACTAAAGTAAGAACAATCAGGATAAGTGGATGGGAAATTAGGGTACAAATTGAAAATGTAAATTAGAAGCACTTAATTACACCCCCCCAACTGGACACGGCTTGGAATCTCCTGACCAAACTTAAAAATGTTTTACTTCCTCTCCACCGAAACTGCACAACAGACATTTAAAAGTTCTGTGCCGCATGTGCTCCTGCAACTCATCTAGAGGTCCTTGACAAAATCCAAAGAAGGATCTGCAATGTAATCGATCCTGACCTGGCATCTCAACTTCAGTCACTTTCTCATTTCCATTTTGATGCCCTGGGCAAACTGATTCTGAAACAAAGGATGATACTCAGCCAATAAACTGCAAGAGATCAACAATTTTGGGAGTATATTAACCCCTTACCCAGCGTAGATGTGTATACACAACTTTACCAAAAGTGTCCCTTTTAAGACACAGACAAATAAACACGTCCAAAACATAACATTCAAAAACCAGCTACAGACTTGTTTATATGTTGATCTTGACTTTTTTGATGTCCTTCTGAGCTTGAAACAAGTCCAATTGTCAAGTCATATGTCTGATAGAGGTGTTAGCCCCAACTCAAGTACTTCACAGTGCCTTAGTTTCCTCAGTTACTTATATTAAAAACAAATAAAATTTGTCTGAAAATGAAATGTTTTCCCCAGAATAATTGGTGAGGAAAGGGTTAAAGATATAAACAGTAGCAGTAGGCTTGTCCATGATGCGCATCTGAGAAAATGTTTCATATTTTTTTCATTTTGGTCTAATAGAGAAGAAAACCATTTCAATGTAATTAAATTAGTAATCTTTATCCACTGTGGATAAAGGTGTTGGTTAGATCCAGTAACAGGACCCAAAGGTGTTGGTTAGATCCAGTAACAGGACCCAAAGGTGTTGGTTAGATCCAGTAACAGGACCAAAAGGTGTTGGTTAGATCCAGTAACAGGACCAAAAGGTGTTGGTTAGATCCAGTAACAGGACCAAAAGGTGTTGGTTAGATCCAGTAACAGGACCCAAAGGTGTTGGTTAGATCCAGTAACAGGACCCAAAGGTGTTGGTTAGATCCAGTAACAGGACCCAAAGGTGTTGGTTAGATCCAGGACCCAAAGGTGTTGGTTAGATCCAGTAACAGGACCCAAAGGTGTTGGTTAGATCCAGTAACAGGACCAAAAGGTGTTGGTTAGATCCAGTAACAGGACCCAAAGGTGTTGGTTAGATCCAGTAACAGGACCCAAAGGTGTTGGTTAGATCCAGTAACAGGACCCAAAGGTGTTGGTTAGATCCAGTAACAGGACCCAAAGAGTTGCGAGTTCAATACCTGGTTAAGGCAGTGGAGATAACTGATAACTGACATCCATTAGATATGGCATGTGGAACTAGAACAGTCTACCCCAGTGAGAAAAATATAGAGTTCAGATCGACATTCCAACCACCTGAAGAAGGCCGGAGCATACAATGGCTGAAACATTGTGATAAATATGGCAACAAAGATTAGGACAATAGTTTGAATAATGTAAATAGTAGAATTGGTAAAATTCTGGAATACTGTATAAAATATTTAGTATTTAGTAACACTTCTTGTTTCATGAGTAGAGTTGCTTAAGGTTTAGTCAAATTTGGATGTAACTGGTTACTTATATCTGAGCATGCCTGTATGTTGAGGGGTGGTAGCTAATCCCTGTTGTAGATACCTGCTCAGACACATTCATGTTTCTTCAGCACCCATAGACCTGAAGAAGTCAAGTGACTTACCTGCTAACATGGTTGCCTTCTTGTGTCCTATTGGAAAAGCAAGCCAGCTAATTTTACCTCATTTATAGGAGAGTACCTAATGCACCAGTTGGGTTGGTCCATTTTTCTGGAATGGACGTGCCCAACACATTTGCATGAGTGGTCTCTATTCACCCATATATCTCTCCATTAAATGACTCAGGTCAGCTTTTACTTGGGACTACACAATTCTACTTGTGTCAGATCACTTGCAAGCTAATCAATATTTTACAAGAACCAACATGTGGTTTGTATTGTAACTATCTTATATGCATAATTTGATGTCATCAACAGTTTGAACTAAACCAATAAACTCAAACCATCAGTCACAATGGCATGTGATTTCATGCTGCCACAACCACTGACAGCTTCCAAACTGTTTTGTCTCCCCAATTTCCCTTGCATACTGTGGTATGGTTTTCAGGCACTTAACAGTGCTGTGCACCAGAATCATCTCCCCAGGCCAAAGTTATCAAGAAGTCACCTACCTGATAAATTGGCTATGCAGATATTCGAACCTTGACCTCATGGTTAAAATACCAACGTTCTAACCACTTAGCCATGTGCCCACTAAATTTGGATATAGTTGCTTATTAGCAAGTTGCTTATATTAAAAAAGAAAAAAATTGTATAATTCTATCAAAACAACCTCACTTCAATAATGATGGAGGTGGGTAGTCAGAATTCCAAAGTTTCTTTTCATATTGACTTCACGTTTCTGAATCAAATTCAAAATCTGCCACTTTCTCCTGTCTGAGTTTATGTAAAAAAAATCAATTTCTGCAGGAATCTTTTCAAAGTAAATGCTATAGCTATTCCCTACCTGCACCTCTACCCATCGTCATACATAATCAGTTCTACGACGATTGCCTGTTGATATTTGGCTTAGAAATGAAAACGCATCTCAGCCCAATACACAATTACGTATTTCATCTGTTTTTGCATACAGCTTGCTGTTGGGCCAAGCTTTGTTTAGAGAACCTCGATTAGTTTTGGTTGTGTATTGGAGAAATTATTTGTTTACATTCTAAGAATGTTTGATTGATTTTTTTTTTTGACTAATAATAGCAAAATATCTTCTGTTTGTGTACGCAAAACAATCCAATGCATGTACAGTACAGCCAATAGGAATTGGAACTAGGCTTGCTGATTAACAATTCTAAACCATTATCCATTACACCACCTGCAAATCTAAGTTTACAGCACCCGTCTAGGTACCGACCAGGCTCGACATTGCTTAACTTCAGTGATCATACAGGAGCTGGTGTTTCAATGTGATATGACCGGAAACCCCAAGTTTACATTTTGGTATGTACAAATATGCCAGAATGTTGAAAAATATGAAAGCATAAAAACAGATTTTTATAGTAAAAATACTAACAATACATTTTTTTTAAAACAAAAAATATTACCAGCAATACTCTTGACAAAAAACCTCTTTACAAAAATACATCCATGAAACCTGATCTACATACTGATTTCATACAAATGATACATATTCTGTTAATAGGCACTTATCCTAAAATCTTGTTGGCATTAAATTGATGTTGATATGCCATAAAACAAAATAAACCATAAACCAGAATATCGACAAAATTTAATAGCCTAGAAGATTCCTCCTATGTTTGCATTTATTATATTTTCTGTTTGTGCACATGTAATAATCCTATATATATATATATATAGCCAAAATTTGCTTGAGGATGAAATGGAACTAATGTTTTTAATTTAATTACAAAATTAAATTTGAAGTTTTTAGCTTCCATTTTTGAAACATGGTTATTACTGTGTAGCAAAAAAAATATTTTAAACCCGTTAATTTATAATATTAATGCTCTGTAAATTTACATTGAACACTATTTTGTAAAAATAAAAATATCAATAAGAACACCAGATTATATATCTTACTGTTCTTTCTTTCTTTTTATTTATATATATATATATATATATATATATATATATATATATATTTGTGTAATTAGGCAGCAATCCTTCTTTCATGCACATTTCATTGAATATGACAGATAAGGTGCTTTTATTTAGTTTTTTTATACAATTTCTTACGTGATCTAATAATTTTTTCTTTTCAGATGATAAATTATATAAAAACTGTCCAAATGTTCTTTTTATCCGAGTGCTTTTGGCTATACATTTAGCCATTTTCAAGGATTAAATATTTTAACTGTTAAATAAGAAATAGTTTCTTGAATGTATAAATGTTTTCATTTTTATAAAATGTTTTCATTTTTCAAAACGCAGTCAAAATATTGTGTCCATGTTCAAAGTTAATATTATTAAGTGTTCGTTTTTTTCTTTTTATTAAATATATATATAGTACAAGTCAATGAATTTACAATTCATTGGTTGGTTGTTTTTGTTTAGCGACACATTAACTTCTATGAGTTATTTTAATGCCAAAGTCTAAATATTTTCTTCACAATTTGATTTGATTTTTGAAGATAATAATGGCTTAGTGACACAAATCTTATTAATTAACCCACAGTTGGAGGGAGAAGAGGTGGATTCATCCCTTTCTCATGGGTGATTACGCATAAGTGAAAATAATGAATCATTAAACCATCTACAAATCCAAGCTTACAGCACTTGGTGTTCCTAAGCAGTCACCCATCTAGGTACTGACTAGGCTCAACATTGCTTATCCTTAGTGATCATACAGGAGCCAGTGTTTCAATATGACATGGCTGTAAACCTCATGTTTACATTTTGGTATGTACAAACTACCATATATGGCAGAATGTCGGCCAAATTTGATAGCCAAGAAAATACATCCTCTGTGTACATTTAAAATTATATAGTATGGAATTACTGGTAGCAATCTCATAATAATAGTAATATTATTCAGATAATGGTAATAATAATAATATTGATATTATTCAGATAATGGTAATATTAATAATATTGTTTTGATAATAAAAATAATATTAATATTATTCTGATATCGGTAATATTAATAATATTAATATTCATCTGTCATTAAGAATAATATTAATTTGATAATGCTAATAATAATAATAATAATAATCTAATAAATGTAATCAAAATAATATCTGATAATATTAATAGTAATATTAATCTGATAATGTTAATACTAAAAGTAGTATTAATAATAAACAAAATGTTTCTTAATATTAATAACAACATTAATATGGTAATATTAATAATATTGTTCTGATAATGATAATAATATTAAACATTATTCTGATATTGGTAATAATAATAATCTGATAAATTTAATCAAAATAATATTAATAATATCTGATAGTATTAATAGTAATATTAATCTGATAATGGTAATACTAATAATAGTATTAATAATAAACAAAATGATTGTTTCTTAATAACATTAATATAGCAATTTTAATAATAATATGGTAATATTAATTACTGGTAGTAATCTGGTACTAATATTACATATTATGTAATTAGTGGTTGTCTAGATCATCTAAGTATTAGTTTACTACATAACTTTCTCTTGGTTGTTGCTATCACAATGTTTCAGCTGTTGTGCCCTTCTTCGGGAGTATGTTGATCAGAGTAACTTTCAGCCTAGTGAATTAAAGCATTGGTTCATGTATTTTGGTGACATAATGATTGTAAGTTCTATCCTGAGGCCTGGTAGTACAGACTTAGACTCTATGGAAACATGATGCGCAATAACTGTGCAGTACTAAATAAGAACAAAATGAGATATCCCTAGACATTGGCAGTGAAATAAGAACAATCTCCTCCCATATATTAGATAATGGGTTCAGTTCAAAATTCCCTGAAACTTACTCAAACCAACAGACACCTGAAGAAGGCCAGGCACAATGGCTGAAATGCTATAATAACAATAAAGATGAGGATATTAGCCTGAATGTAAATAACGATAACTGCTCATCCTAGAAATTAAAACAGAAATAAAAAAGAAACAATGTCTGCCAATAGACACAGATGTGTCAACCAGCAAAAATGGTTTTCATAAAAGCTTATGAAAGCTGAAAGTACACAAAATACATTGGACAATTTATGTTCAAATATTCCCTGGAAAGCAGAAAAACGGTCCATACTTTAATAAAAAAGAAATCTTTTTTACTTTCATTCATTGGTCCTCAACCAAATCTTTTTACATTTATCACATTTCAAAATATACAGATACTACACTGATCTTCACAGATACTCTGATCCTAAAGATAAGTGTTGAACAATATATTCAGTTTCTTTTTTTTTACTAATATTCAACCCATATTTACTTAAGAGTCACTCAAGGTAGAGGGTTACTGAACGGGGAGGTTGTGTGAGTGGTAAGAAGTGTCATTTTTTGAGAATATGTGGAAAAGATAATGGTTAATCCTAGACTTGAAGAGGTTAATATTCTACTGGTTGGAAAAGAGTGCTCTTAGGAGTCGTTACCACAAAGTAGTAGTTTGTGGGGAAAAAGCTGTCCAAAGGGAACATCTGCCTTACTAATGGAATACAAGGGAAATGGGGATGGTTTAACCCAGTGCATGTATCATGGCAGATCTTGTGTAAACAATTTTCTCATATTTATACGTATTCTCATAAATATAACACTTAGGAGGGTGGTAAATTATTACTATAGTGCTTCTTCAAAGTGTAGCTGATCATGGCTCTCTACAACTTCCTGCCCTTTGTAGCTCAGCAAATTTTGTCTTTTTGTTATTTCTCTTGTTTTTCTGCCAATCATTTACACAAGTTCATTAGGCAAGTCATGTATTCTTTTCTTCCAACCCTCTTGCCTTTAATAAGGCATGTGAGTAACAAATTTTTTAAGCCTCATTAGCTTGTGTGCTCTATAAATTTCAATTGTTTCTTTCTGATGTTAAGTATATGTTTCCTTTTTGTTTCCATTTTTTTCTAAAACTTTGTCAATGTTCACATGTTTAGTCCCTAGTATTTTCAGCAACATTCTGTAGGAGGATATTTCTATCAATTCAACTCTTATTCATCTTTGAAGAGGTTGTCCAGCATTCACTGCCATATAGGAGGATTGATATTGTATAACAGTTCAGTATTCTTTTCTTTGTTTCTAACAAGATTTTCCTGTTTCTTAATACTTTGCTTAACTTTTGGAAGGCACTTTTCGCTATCCCAATGTATCTTTAGATTTCAGTGTCACATTTTCCATTCTCTATTAAAACGCTTACTAAATATTTACATTTTTTGTACTTGCTCGATTTTGGTATATCCAATTTGTAATTTACATGTTGGTTTGTTCCTTTTGCTGACAACCATACACTCTCTCTTCTTACATTTGATGGTTAGTCCTTTCTTCTCACTTTCCTTTACTACCTCTTTTGTAAGAGTTTCTGTAACTGTATCATCTGTATATCTTCATGTTGTTAAGATTGTGGCCACTAATAATGAATCTTGGTAGTACTTACAATTCTCTCAGAATCATCTCACTGTATAGGTTAAATAAGTTTGGAGAGAAGACAAATCCTTGTCTTATATCCCTTTCTGTTTTTGTATACTTACTGAATTCATTTTCTATCCATATGCAGGCAGTTTACTTCCAGTATAAGTTCTAGATTATTCTTTCCTGAATATAAAGCTTACCTAGCAGTTAAAGTAGTTCTTTGACATACTTTATTACGAAGATAAAAAAACACAAAATTAGATGTTTAATTCACTTACATATCTTTCCTGTTCAGTCATGTAATGCAAAATCATTTCTATGTATTTCATATTATTCAATAAATTAATCAAAGTTCAATGGACTTATTTCATTTGACCGCCTACAGAGTTTCATGGATACACTACTCATTGGGGTCATATGGCCCAATGAATCTATTGAATTATTACCAGATATATTTATACTCCACAAAATTAGAGTTTTGATTGATTTATTTGTTTGCTTATACAAGTTATTAACTGTCATAATGCTGTCTTTGTTTAAAATAACAAAGAATTCGAAAGACCATAATTAGAGAGAGTATCATAGGAACAGAAAACTAGGTAAGGAAATCAAAGAAAAGGTTTTATTAAATACTCATACATAGAACAGAAAAACTTGAGTAAATCAAGTACTACTCAAATCCTACTCTAATGTGTCTACTTGCCATATTTATAGGTAGGAGCTGTCCATTGTCACAGTAATAGAGAATAGCAGGAAGCATGTGGAGTCCTACTTGACAACATCAATTGTTTGTCGGTTATTTAAAGCTGAAACATTTTGGATTTTAAGAATAAGTCTTTTTAGCAAGTGAATATTACATTAACAGGTTTTTGAGAATGACTATAATTTTTCCAGATTCAAGATCCACTGTTTAACTTATAGCTGGAGAAAGGAGATGTATTCATACCTTTCTCGAGAGTATTTGTGCATAAGTGAATGTAATGAACCTGACTGGATTTTGAACTTGCTTTTCCAATTTCTCATCCAAACCCATTATCTAATACACCACCTGCACATCCACCAGTAATTAGAGATTTCAAGTTTCAATAATTTAGTATTTCCAAGTTGAGTAATTGTCAAACTATTATTTCAAATTATTTTCATCTTGGGTGATATAGATGTTATTATAAAAACAATGTTTCAGCCAAATACCCTCTGGCCATCATCAGGTATCCATTGCTTGACTGATATTTCATTTATTTTTATACTATATCATTTTCTGCAGCTAGAAAAAAAATCTAATCTACTTTATTTTTCTTATATACCACAGTAGACTTCTAAAAGAGCTCTTCAAGGCACATATATCCCAGCAGTCATCATGAGGTGTACAAGGGGTTGTTGAAAAGTTTTCAGACTATTTAAATTCCAAAACATTTGGCCAAATGTTCATCCTTCAAATCTATACATCAACCATCCGTCCTTGCATTAAATATTGCCATTATATATGGTCTAGTGCTTCCACTGTACATCTCGAGGTCCTTGACAAAATCCAGAGTCAAATACGCAATATAACAGATCCTGATCTGGCATCTAGTCTACAATCACTATCCCAGAGATGTGCTGTGGCTTCCCTCTGTCCCTTCTACAAGTATTTTTACTGCAACTGTTCCAATGAGCTACTTTCGCTGCTTCCCAGATGGCATGAATTTAAGCAAGCTACCAAGCTGGTATCTCGGTCCCACCCTTTCACTGTCAAAACAGTTAAATGTAACTGTCTCTTCTACTCAAACAGCTTCTTCTCTCGCACTTCCCATCTGTGGAACTCACACTCCCCTTACTTGCTTCCCCAATGGCTATAATCTTCAAATATTCAAGTGTAATGTCAATCGACATCTGACACCATAAGCTTGTTCCTCATCCTTCTCTGTATCCTTTCCTCAAACAGGCCTCTTTTGTTCTCACTCTCCTGTAACCCCTTGCATGCTAGTGCACTCCAGCCTTGCTTGGATTGAATTGCTTAAAAAAAAAAAAAAAAAAAAATCTTTTTAAATCCCTTTATTTTGCTGAGAACTTTTCAGCAACCTCCTTGTATGTGTACCAGAAGTCTGGAAAGGATTAAGGAAAAAAGGATTGTGATTGGTCTCTGTCAAGGTTGGCATTGAGTATAACAGCTTCTTATCTGTCTATATTTCTGAGATGAGGTATTATGTACATCATTTACATTATTCAGACTATTGTCCTCATCTTTGTCGCCATATTTGTTACAACATTTTGGCCGTTGTACACTCCGGCCTTCTTCGGGTGGTTGGAATGTCAAACTGAACCCTTTATTTCGCTCACTGTTCTA